TATCTGGACTTAGTGCCAAACTTAAGGTTTCACACTTTAAGGAGGAATATTGACCAGCCAGAGGGTGACCAGGAAGATAAAAAATTATTCTGGGAGAAACAGTTGAATCAACTGGAGAGATCTAGTTCAAGAAGAGACCAAGTTCTGTGTCTGTTAGAGATACATAGAAAAATCGAGCATGAGAAAAGAGGCGGAAAAATTATCTTCTCAAATTTCAATGTTGTTTTATTCTTCTTGTCCTCTAATACTTATTATTAAAAAACTTATTTGGTTAAGAAGTCCTAGATTTCTGGGGCGCTCACCCAATAATATGGTCACACTCTCAGTATTGGTGGGATTTGATCTGAATGCTGAGTCAGAACTACCAAAGCATCTCCTGCCCGCCGACAGTAACTCTTCTTGCCACTCTAGTCCATTTCTGAACATCCTGTCCAGATCCCAAGTGCCAGCCAAAGGAAAGGAAGGAAGGCAGAATGAGAGTTCTGAAGTCAAACTTCCCTGCATTTGATCTCTGACCCTGCTACTAACTTGCTGTATTAATCCCCCGTTCCTCAGTTTCCTCATTTGTTGCATGGAGATAATCATCTCTAGCTCTGGTAGTGGTTGTGTAAGGTAAACAAGTTAACACATATAACACACTTTGGTACATAGAAAGTACCCAGTAGGTTTTAGCTATTATTTCAATAGAATACTTTGTATTTTCAAAATGTTTTTGTATCTTCTATTTCATTTTAGCCAGAAAATAGCAGTATGAGGAAGCCAGTAGTATTGTTACCCAATTCCTGGCTTACAGAGATTGTGACTTAAGAACATCAATATGTTAAACACTCTTAGGTTACAGGAGTAGTGCGTTTGCTCATGAAAGGTAATGATCCTGATGATGGGACCGTATCTGTTATTAGGTGTGTTTAGCTCCAGGCACTGTGCCTTAGAGAACTGTTGGCCAAGAGGCCCAGGACCAGAGGAGAAGACTCATAATGGGAAAGAAAGCATCAGAGGATCTAGTAATGTGTACACTGTAGAAGAGTTACAGTTTTTGAGAAAGCTGTGAATAAAATATCTTTTTAGAATTTTATTTCTGCTTTGGTTCACCAGTTTTCATTCTCCAGATAGTTTCTGTTTTAAACTCTTTTTATAATAGCCCAAGAGTTGAGAAACTTCGAGGAGACGGTCTAATCTTCATCATGGTACTACTTAAAATATCCCTTCAAAAGACAGGCATCCCTGACGAAATACATTTATTTCTATGGATCCATGCTCATACTGATTCTCCAGCTTTTAATTTAGTTTGATTCTGACTTAAGCATCACTGTCTCAAAGAACTTCTTAGCTATACCTAGCAAGCAGATTAATCATATATCTGTATCTGAAAGAAATTTAATAAGCTCTGATTATGCAGTTATTATATCTTCCTGGGAGTTTAGTATTAACGGCTGATGTTGTATTTTATTTGTAGAAGGGGAACACTGATCTGTCTTAACCAAATGAGAAGTTTGAATGAGATCCGTTCTGTTAAGATAGCCATGGCAGAGATGGACCTTTTGTAAATGTCCATTTATATGGTGGTGGTTAAATAATTATGGTACAGCTCCACAATGAAAATACTATATGAAGAATAAGATAGACCTATATGTACTAATATTTTAAGAGAAAAAAGCAAATAGCAGAAAAATATAATACGATCCATTTGTGTGATAAAAACAGCAGCAAAAAGAACTGAGAGGAAACATACTTTCATACAGAAAGATATCTCAAATGATGCTTGTGCAGCTATAAACAGTGACTACCTCTGAGAAGGGTGTTTGTTGGGCTAGAGTGAGAAAGAAGATTTTAATTTATATTATTTTAGAGAGAATACATTACTTTTATAGTTTAAAAGGGAATTCTGTTGGAGGGAATGGGAAATAAATGTAAAATAATTGATGACTGAAACCAGTTAAAACTGAGATAATATATAGAGAGTGCCTTATTTTTGAAACCAGATCTGAAAAAGCATGTTTTTATATGTCCCAAAAAGTGGAAATAAGTACTGGAATTTTCATGTATGATGATTTTGTGTTTGTTTATATATATTTTATAAAAAGATGGCAAGAAGTTAAGAAAATTACAAAGGTGATATCTGGGATTCCTAAGTTCAGAGAGGTAGTATGTACTTGCGAAACTCATGGTACATTGAACAGTCTTATCACTGAAAGTAGAATATCCAGGTGTAATATGTCACCTGATGTGACACTGTATGAAGTGTCATCTGACCAACCAAAAAGTTTCATCTGAAGTACGAAAGTTAACTTCCAAGTTACAGGGAATAAGAAGATACAGTTATAAGTTACATAATCACACAAGAAAGGGAACAATTAACCAGTTTCTTCAACAAGTCAGTATTGTTTTTTTTTTTAAAAAAAGGAGTAGTTAGTGGTGGGAGAGATCTTCCGTGGCCTTCTAGATCACAATAAAGACTTTAGTTTTACTTAGAATGAGATGAAAAACCATTGGAAAATTGTGAGCAGAGGACTAGTGTATCTGGCATTTTAACAGCATCACTCTGCTGCTGTTTTGTGGACTCTCGGGGAATTAAGCTGGAAGTGAGGAACCTGTTGCAACCAACCAGCCAAGAGAGGATGGTGCTTAGACCAGGATGGTGACAGGAAATGTGGTGAAAAGTGATTGGAATCTGGAGGTGTTTTGGAAATAGCCAACAGAAATAGTCTGATGCAGTGAGCATAGTGAGTGAGAAAAAGAGGACAAAGAAGACTGGCGAAGTTTTGCCCTGAGTAACTGAAAGAAAGAAGTTGCCATTAACATCAAGAGGAAATTCTGCAGAGTAGGTTTTTGAAGGGATACTAGGAGCTCAGTTTTGAACATGATAAGCATGAGATATCTCATGTATATGCAGTGATGATGACAAGTAAGAAGTTAGGTTCTGAGAGTTTAGAGTTCAGCAAAGAGGACTGAGCTGGAGGTATAACTGAGGAGCTGTCAGAATATGCATGTTATTTAAAGCCGCAAGACTGCATGAGTATACATGATGAGGAAAAGAGATCTAAGGGCACAGTCCTGGAGTTCTCCGATGTCAGGAAAGTGAGAAGCAACCAGAAAAGAAGTGTGGGTATTTAGGTGTCCTAAATACCAAAAGGGAAAAAACATTTCAAGAAGGAAGAAGTAATCAGCCATGTCAAATAATGCTGACAGGTAAAGCAGGATCAGGACTGATAAATGACCATTCAGAAGTAACTTCTAAGTGTGTAAGATACTTAATAAGGTGATAATAAGTAATAACCACCATTTGTTAGGCTTTTTCTATGTGATACTGTATTAGGTGCTTTGTATAGTTACCATTAATCCTAAAATAGCTTATATGGTAGGAATTATTCTCATTTTACAAATATTGGAAGCCAAGGCTCAGAGACATTAAGAAATTAGTCCAGAGCCACATACCTTCTAAATTTTGCAAAGGAAAAATGCAAACCCAAGACGTAAAAGCCTAGACTCATTTCCTTATATTGTGCTGCCTGCACTTAACGTTAAAGCTACATCTGCAGTTTTATAACGGGGTTGTCAGTTACTGTTTTAGCTATGCATGTATGTGTAGGATAAGTTAAAGCTATCTTAAATGCTTTATTCTTTATTCTTTCTGAAGGCAGAAAGTGTAACAGGCCTGTTGTTTGATGATACAAAAATTTTAATTGTCTATTTATATATGGCACTTTACATTTGGAAAGTATTTATATATGGGAGAAAACTGCTCACGCTCTTCTGAGGTAGCTGGGACGGGTGGTTTTAGGTACACTGTACACACGAAGAAGCTGAGACACGTAGGTAATAGGAGGGTCACAAGTTCCATAAGGTCCAGGACTGTGATCAGGACTCTTCAGAACTCTCCTCTAATCCACCTGATCTCCTCATTATTAGCTGTGTAAGGCCCAAAAATTGTTCCTAAACTTTGAGGCTGTCAGAGTATATAAAATGTATGGAGAGTCTTGAAAGCAGGAATAGATAATACAGTATTCAGTAATTCTTTTGTATTTTTGCAAAATACATGAAGAAAGTGAATTTAAAATCTTATTAAATCCCAAGACCCAAAAAGAAGACATGAGAAATGGGGGTACATTATTTTAGACCCAGTGTGAAAAGCCATTATAGTATTGAAACTTTAAGTAAATGAGCAAAAGTAGGAAAATTGTTGTGGTTACAGGGAAGCTTTCAATTAAAATAATGTTATTTCTGTTTTTTTTAAAAGGTGAGAAGTTTGATTATTTTAATTATCATATTAAATGTGAGCAGAAAACTTTTTAATAACTTGATTGAAATTAACATGTGACAGAGATTAGTTAGGAAGAAACAGTATTTTCCTCTTGGATTTATACTGCATATGTGGTACATAAAATGGAAGAATTAAATACTATCTTGGCTTTTTCCCTATCCAAGGTAGGAAATTGGTTTCGACCCGTTGGTAGCAACCTCGTGGAATGAATACTGTGTTGTCCTTTTTGTTTCCACTAAAGTTTCTTCAAATATTCTTTAGAGATGCTTTCAAACTTTTCCTATTAAAGAGAAATTTTGAGAGCTGGCCTTTAGGTAAAGCTTTATGATAGAATTGAGATGTAAAAGTTAGAATTTGAAAGGTAGACAGGATGTTAGTAAGATAAAGAAGAATATTTCCAGTTATGAGGAATGTGAACCCTGACGTATCCTCCCAGAATAGTAAGGAAGATCTGCGTAGAAGTTAAGAAATAATGTAGAGTAGGCTGGATAGGGCTTGGTAACTGAAAGCCTTGAAAAACCAGTGGGTCAAATAAGTGGGTGATGCTAAAGTTGGAATTTACTCCTGAGGTGAGTGGATTGTCTCATCCAGTTAGGAAATGTGAATTTTTGGCATTTCACCTCAGTATTTTCTGTGTGTGTTAACATTCATTGTCTTTAAATAAGTAAATACTGATTAAATGCCAAAGCAAGACTTACTTACTGAAGAAGGGGATGCATTTTTTTTTTCTCTGTTCTAGTCAACTCCTTTACATCTAGCAGCAGGCTACAACCGAGTCCGGATAGTTCAGCTTCTTCTCCAGCATGGGGCGGACGTGCATGCAAAAGACAAAGGGTGCGTGTATCCACTTATTTCCTTCAGTGGTTTCACTCTCTGACTTTTCATGCTTTGTTTTCAGCATCTGATACGCTAAAGTTTCCGAGCACTAGACAGTGTTATATCCCTTTGCTTTACAATGTGTAGCATTTTAAGAATGTTCACAGTGATTTGAGTTTATTTTCCTGTTGCTACTAATTAAGGATTGTTCTCATAACAGTTTTCTAAATTAGTTTAATTTTATTGTATTCTATTATTTGAAGTTAAAATTTGTTTATCTCATTTGTAATTACTGTTTTTTTTAACTCTTAAGTTACACTTCAGAAAGAGGAAAACAAATTGAAAATTCTGATTATCCAGTAACATAGCTATCATATTTATTAGGTACGAAGGATCATCTCTTATTAATAAAATAAAGTCATAAGTATACATAAGTATAGAATATTCTCATTTTTTTTCCCTGATGAAATCTTGGACATCTAAACTGAGAAAACCTGAAAGGTCTTTACGAATGTTGATATTGGGGGTAGGTGTCTGGGAGCAAGGAAAGAAAGCAGTGTGTCATTTATTTTATAAATAGGTGAATTTTGGAAAACTTTGTACCAGTTTCCTAGCTAATCTCCAGGGATATGTGAATTGGGTCTGCTATCCCATGTGATGGGCTAGCATTTCTCATCATGCCACTTTAAGATCAGAGATCTAAAAGATAATTGCCCTGATTGCCCAGGTGAAGAAGAAAAGCCCTGGAGGAGGTTGTTTTTCACTTTGCCCCTCTCCATGTCAGGAAGCATAGACAGGAGGAAAGAGCTCAGTACTTGAGACAGTTCTCAGAAGGGGAATCCATCATTTTAAATCTGCACTTTTCTGTGCTCTGTTTCTTTCTTGCCTGTACCAGGTTTCATACCATGTGTGAATGGCGTCCCCATAGTACGGGGACACAAATACCTGGTGCTCTTGTACAGCTCGGTTTCCTTGTGCATGTCTGAAAACAGTTGGGTGTACAATAGGTGGGTCATCAAGGGAAGTACACCACAAAAAGGGAGCCTTTGATTCATATGAAATGATACTTTGACATGCAAGTTTGGATATTTAATTCTCATGCTGGAAATTACCACTAAAGTGAAATAAAATGGTAGAAACATTTCAGTTCACTATCAGTTAATATATATTTTCTGTAAATACTCGCTATATAAAGCATGCAATTTTCAGTTAGTACATGTGCTTCTTCCTTTTACCTAAATGCTTTTCTAATTAGTGTTTTTGTCATATTTAAGGGTTATATATATAAAACACAAGATAAATGCAAAATGTTGAACATTGTTAAGCTTTGTATCTTCTTATTAAATACTTTAAAATATTTTTAATTGTACTGAGATTTATTAGATTTTTATTTCTTAGTACTTGGATAAATGGCTCTAAATTATATGAAGTTCAGCATTTTAATTTGTCTTTTTTCATTTAGTGGACTGGTACCTCTTCATAATGCATGTTCATATGGACATTATGAAGTCACAGAACTGCTATTAAAGGTAAGAGAAATTTAAAATAATTCTAAGTGTGGAATATTATTTGCTTTTTAAAAAACTTGTCAAGAGTTTTCATGCTTCTTTGGGCCAATAAGATTCTTAAGAGAATAAAATAGTTTTTTAAAAAAATATTACCATTGCCTTAAAAATTTTAAAACATTGAACCTATTTTAAACTTTTAAAAAACTGAGCTTAAATAAATTAAAACATCTACTGACATTTCAAAGAGTTTTAACTGAAATTTACAGTGAAATAGATGTTTTCTGAGTTTTATTTGATCCAGTGAAATGATTACTGACCTATACCTTTTTTTCTTAATTCAGCATGGAGCTTGTGTTAATGCAATGGATCTCTGGCAGTTTACCCCACTCCATGAGGCTGCTTCCAAGAATCGTGCAGAAGTCTGCTCATTGTTACTTAGCCATGGTGCTGATCCTACATTAGTCAATTGCCACGGCAAAAGTGCTGTGGATATGGCTCCAACGCCTGAGCTCCGGGAGAGACTGACTTGTATGTACTTATATCCTAAAGTCAGTGTTTCTTGTTGTATGTTGGAATATCTTATTTTTGTTTAGTTATTAGGACTGATGTTTTGTCAGACTTAAATAATAGCCTTTTATTCTTACATGTACACTAGTTTATAATTCTCATTTCTGATCATTACTTTTCTTTGTGAACTCCACAGGAATCTTTTGTACATACAATATATGTTTTGTGTTTATTCAAACCCAATTCTAATTCATGTGTTAAGGCTGTTTTTTCTTTTTTTAAGACTAATGAAGGTGAGTCGGTCATTAACCGTATTGAATACCTACTATGTGCCAGGCACTGGAACTGGAGCAGTGTACAAACCAGAAAAAAACTCTCTGAGCTCCCAGAGCTTATATTCTTGTGCTATTGGTAATAACAGATAACAGCTAACATTACTGATCACTCACTGTTTCCCAAGCCCTGCAAGGTTGCACAGTCATGTTTTTATTTTTATGTGTGTTATAGCCCAAGTGTAATCACTTGCTCAAATTGAAATAGGACAATTTTTATGATTTGATGGAAGTAATCTTCTCAAATACTAATACATATTACCTTTATTTACATATGCATGTTTTTTAAATAAACCTTTTGTTTTAGAATAGTTTTAGATTTATGGAAAATGTACAAAAATAGTACAGAGGGTCTTCATATTCCCCATACTCAGTTTCCCCTGTTAACATCTTACATTAGTTTGGTACATTTGTCAAAATTAATGAACCAGTGCTGATACGTTATTAACTAAAGGCTGTACTCTCTTCAGATTTCCTTAGTTTTTACCTAAAGTCCTTATGCTGTTCCAGGATCTCACTCAGGATACCACATTACAGTTAGTTGTCATATCAAATACTGAGATATATTTAATTTTACATGTGGGCATTTCAGGTTTAAATTAAAGTAGGTGTCACCTACCTAATTTTTAACTTGTCTCATGGTGGATATTCTCTCTTATATCTAGGATTCTAAGAATCATTTAGCTGGATTTAAACACCTGAGAACAATTTTAAACAATAATTTAAGAAAAAGGCATAGTCAAACTGATGCTAACATCATTTAAGTTTAAAGAGATTGTAAACTAGTTTATGTGAAAACAGGAAGAGTTCATTGCAATTTTGATTTTGTTTAAGTAGAAATTTAAACTTATTTTGATACTGAAACAGATGACATCTACTAGATTACAGGCCAGCACAAACCAGATTATAACTGGACAGATGTCTTAGCAATGAATCCTTATAGAAGTGCATTTATTCTCTCTCCCACTCATGTGACTCTTGCCATATGTTATCTTGCATTATATAGTTCATTTTCCTTTGTGTGTGTTCTGTCTCCCCAGTGAAGTTTAAATTCTTAGAAAGATGTTTGGTTTTATTATTCTGTCTTCTTTGCACCTGCACAATTGCCTTGTTACCTAATAAAAATGTGTTGATGGTAATTGTGTTTGGGCCCATGTACCTGCTAGCCCCAGCCTAGCACAGCGCATTGTGCATGCAGTGTGCCCAGCAGTTTTAGTCAGTTGAATTTAACTGAACTCCAAACTTACTTTTTGTATCTTTTTCTAATTTCTTTCTTTCAGTTTATACTCTGGGCTCAGATTTATCCCCATGTCATCATTTGACTCTTTTTTTCCTTTGAGTCATTTTGCAAATTACAAGTATTAGGAGTTTTTACATTGTATTTCACTGGTCTGTCTGACTCCAGTGTAAACACTAAGATTTAACCTAAATTTGTATAGTTCTGTAAAGCAAGAAGTTCCTGATTACTTTGCAGCCTTCTCAATATCTCCTTTATTTTATTAAATACGACTCTACCAAGGGATTATATGAAGGAAAGGATTTAAGAAAGATGGAACTTTTCTTACTACAGTTTTCATCCTCATGCTCACTATTTTATACTAGGCATTCACAATAACAATTCTTTTAAGGAAAATTATCCAGGAAACAAAGACAATATTCTGATCATACCCATGGTTACAGCATTCTCATAACACACATTTTTTTCTGCTCACTCTTGTCTATTTTTTTGTTTGTTGTTTTCATGAAGCCAAATGAACATGGTAGTATGAGTTCTGCACACATTGGAGCTGAAAATACTAAAAGTAGCTTTCATTGTTATTTCAGGATGCATTTAGAGAAACTTTAAGGCATTTAATAAATGGTAAGTTTTCAGGGTAATCTTGAGTTTCTGAAGTTTCAAAGTCCTGTACTTGGAGGAATTCAGCAATGATAAAGTAGCACTAAATAAGAGGTTATATAAAAATGGATTTTTCCCCAAACCTGCCATGACTTATTTTATAAATATCCAGCAGTCATGCAACAAATACTTGAGTACCTACTGCATGCTAAGCACTGTGCTAGGTGATGGGACTGCCATGGCAGATAAAGCAGTGTGATAAGCCCTGTGATAAAAGGCTAAAGGCAAGGACAGAGGACTTCATAAGAAGGAATCCTAGCCCAGTGATGGGGAACGTCGGGAAGGCTTTTATCCAGAGTATCTGAACCAAGACCTGGAACAATGAGTGGTAGTTAATAAGGCATGTGTGTGTCTGTGTGTATCTCTGTCTTTTGAGGGAGAAAAGAAAGTGACATGGGGCTCTCAAAGGAAAGGGAGAAAGGGAAAGAGAAAGAATTCAATGCAAGACAGATATGAAGGCCTGAACATGAGCAGGCCTGAAATTTTTATATAATATATTAGGTCACAGATCATTTATATCTGTTTAGAACAATTTTCAGCTTTTTTAGTAACTAGTTATACCAAAATACAATCCAAACTTGTAAAATAGAAAATAAGGCTATATGCTTTTAATAAATAAGAGTATTAGATTCTTATTTATGCAGTTATTAATTTAGAAATGCCTTTCAAAATCACTTACTTGTTTATACAAATAATAAATGAATATTAATTGTTCTTTGAAAAATTTTCAGATTCTGGCACTTCCCCCCATAATTCAGTTCTTCCCTCCTCTGTGTCAACATAATCACCATTAATATTTTGGTGACTATTTCTCTGTCCTTTTTATGTCATTAGTTATATTTAGTTGTGGTGAAGTAGTAGTAGTAAAAATACACACACAAAAACGGGTCAGCCTAGCCTTCCTCATTTGCTGCTTGAACTTTCATTTCATAATGTATACTTTTCATGTCAGTATATATATATAGATCTTATCTTTTTTGTTTAAAAGCTGTAACATGCTCTAATGTGTTAAGTGTTCACAAATTATTTAACTGGTTTCCATTTGGTGGACATTTAGGTTGTTTGTTTAAAAACTTCGCTGAAGTGAGTACTTTGTATGTGTATCTTTATGAACTCTGAGTAGAAAGCAGTCCTATTTCAGAATGTACATATTTCAAAAGTTTTCATTAACTCACCCTCATCTTTTGCACCTTTAACATCATAGTCTTGTTGCTGCTGTTGCTAAAATAAAGGAATATATAAAGTTAATAATACTCCTACTTTACTTATAATCATGTTAATGATTTTATAGATTTTAAATATTTTTATGTCAACCATTCTTTAATTAACAGATGAATTTAAAGGTCATTCTTTACTGCAAGCAGCCAGAGAAGCAGACCTAGCCAAAGTTAAAAAAACACTTGCTTTGGAAATCATTAATTTCAAACAACCACAGTCTCATGAAACTGCACTGGTAAGATCTTACTGTTAATCCATTCCTTGGGTCTGAAATAGTGTAAATGTAAAATATGATCTTCTTTTCAGGAATCTTATAGTAACTTTAGTATCTGAAGTGTCAGGAATTTACATTTTAATATTGGTTGCATTGATTTTTAAATTCTGTTCAGGAGATGATTGCTTTCATGACTGAGAGAATAGACATTTTCTCAACCTTAATTTGAGAATTATTTTTACCTTTGTGTTTACCCAACTATACGTATTATAACAAATCTCCTTTGTGGCCAATCCTCTCATAAAATACAAGATGTGATTTTCTTTAAAGAGTCTTCTTTTCTTGTGGTTGATGGATAAATACTATATTTGTTTTCTATATACGATTAAAGTATTTTCAGAGATAACTTTCATCACCCTTGTAAGCAATTGTATTCAATGAATTGTTACATTCATTATAGAAAAATGGTAAGCGGATGAATTTTTTTGTTTCAGACTGTACGAATTGTTTCAAAAATTATTCCTGTTTTTCTTCTGAATCTTTCAGAAAGATTCGTCTATTTTCCTTGTCCTTGCCCACATTAACTTTCAGGTATAGGGCTGGTTAGGTTGTGCCTGAATTCAGAATTTAAGCATATGTGATGCCTTTATCACAGAACTCTAAATATGCTTCAGTTAACATTCCCACTTTACATCTGACACACAAGAGTCAAAGTGTAGTTAGTACCTGCTGAAAACAACATTATAAGAGTCACACAACCAAAACAGACCAACTGCATGTACACTTAAGTGTATGACTCTCACTCTGGGGTCCAGATACATTCAAGTTACAAAGCATTATGCCTGGAGACGCTCAAAGCCACAGAATACTCCTGACCTGCTTTTTCAGGGGGTTCATTTTACTCATTAGTAAGTAGCTTTTTTACTTTTTAAATTTTAATTCAAACATTAATATGAAATGAAGTTGAACACAAAAGTTGTGTAGGTAGAGGATAAAACATAAAATTTCTGATAATACTCCTCCCTCTAAGCTCCTCCAAGTCTGTTACCTCCTTATTTGTCCCTGGGCGTATGGACTTTTCCTGTGGTTCCCAGAGTACCTCTGGGGAAGAGCTTGAGAAATAGTGATTTATGTGGCTGACAGCCTGATGAAGGATTGAGTAATTCAGTTACAGATTTTTATAGCTTTGGGGAGGCAGTATTCTGATACCTTCAAGTAAATATACTTATATTTACTTCAGGTAAATATACTTATTGGCTGAAGGGAAAGAAATGAAGTCTCTCTTAATTTTCAGCTAAGAGCATCCTTTCACCTTGGTTTAAAGGCTTATGTTTTGTACTCCCAGTGTATTGAGGAGGAATTTTTATCATCTCCATAATGTTAAAATATATGTTTTGAGATAACAATGTTTTAAATAGTCAGCAAGTACCATTTAATTCAGAAATCTGCTTTTAAATAGAAGTTTATTAACTTGGTTTTGTTTACTTTACAGCACTGTGCTGTGGCCTCCCTGCATCCCAAACGCAAACAAGTGACAGAATTGTTACTTAGAAAAGGAGCAAATGTTAATGAAAAAAATAAAGAGTAAGTGTAATTGCAGAAGGAGTTGCTTAGTTCTTAAAGGGAATAAAAGTTAGGAAATTGAGGGGGAGAGCATAGCTCAGTGATAGAGTGTGTGCTTAGCATACATGAGGTCCTGGGTTCAATCCCCAGTACCTCCATTACAAAATAAGTAAATGAAAACTTAATTACCTCCCCCCCCCCAATTTTTTTTTTTAATTAGGAAAATACCTTTTCCTTTTCTCCTCTCCATAGTTTCATGACTCCCCTGCACGTTGCAGCAGAAAGAGCTCACAATGATGTCATGGAAGTTCTACATAAGCATGGAGCAAAGGTAAGGCATGCACCTGAGATAAAGTGCCAGACTTGGCATTGAGTAGCTAGCTGCTCTTAAGACTGTTTCTTTTCTCTCTGGTTCTCCTGAAGAAATTGATCTTCGAAAGGACTGTTAGCATGTATTTGAATTAATTCTACTTTAAAGTTGATGTAAACCTTATAGCCAATAAAGATACTTACCTATGTTTTATTCTTCTGTAAAGCAATGAAATGTGGCTATGATCTTATCATTGGAAATACATTTCAATTTTACATTAATATTAGAATTGATGATATTTTGATAGTCAACATTAATGATGGTTTATCAGAAAATAACTTAAGTAAATAATAGTCAAAATATTGCTACTTATTTTAAAGAACATTTCCATTCCTTCAAAATGACAATGATAATTTTCTCAAATAATCTCAACAGTAAAGAAATAAGACAATTTTAATAACCATTTTTATTGGCATTGTCTGGGTGACATCATCTGAAATTCCATGAATTGCTTGAGGAAAGTTTGTTTGAAGGAAGCAAATTAGATGTTTTTCAGAGGTGACTTGAACTTGCAAATTTTTAAATCCTCAGGAGTGTATATTTTAAAGCAGGAGTCTCCAAAGTAGGATGTAGGCACTCTGTGGAACATAAAAGATGAGCCATTGGGTGCAGGAAAAAAATTAGTTTTTTGATTTATTAAAATAGTAATTTCTTTAAGAGTAAAGAAATTAAGATCTACTAATATTTTATGTACAGGTTGACATGTGTCAGCTGCCTGAGTCATGTCCGAGCCCAGGGTGTTTCCTGAGGAAGAACGTGGGTTGGGGTTGGGGAGTTTGATGATGAGACACTCGCTTGTCCACTCATGTGCAGCACACATGTGACACATCACACTTCATGTGTGTCCACATGAGTAGATTTATGGATATCATCCTAAACAGTAGAACCTTGATAAATACCATTGTTGGTAATCAAAGGAAATGACTGTGGCAATTTATAGTATAAAAGGTTGTCTGGCTATTTCATGAATTAGTATTTTTAGGAATTGGCATACATAGTTGTGCCTTTGTCTTTTCCTAGTGAAAATAAGATAGTTCAAAATTTGCTGTTAGTTCTGTGCTGACAAATGACTATTACTTGTATGTAGGTACATTTAAAAAAAAAATCAGAACCTTAAAGATGAAAGTTAAATGAGAAAGTAACTGCAGTCTTAACAGAAATTTAACAAATGAAGAGGACTTTTTGAAAATAGATTTTTAGAAAATACCCAGTGTTTTATGATTTTGTTGCCCAAAAATGATGTAAGTATATCATTCTAATTTAAAAACTAGAAAACAGAGTTTTCTAACCTGTTTTAAAGGTTTTTAAAAATTTGTGTTTAGTTGGATTTTGAACCTATTAAAAACATTTTACTGTAACACCTAATAACAAGCTTGAAAGAATCAAGAAAGACACAATTTTACTAGTAGAATTCAGTTAAAACCTTAGTATAATTAGTAAATTGTATTAAAAATAAGCATTATGATTTAGTAGGCTTTGCTAACAATCCAGTTTTTCCTGTGACACTACGTATCTACATGAAATCTTTTTAGCTCATCTGGTCAGTGAGACCAACTATCGAAAATGAACTTAGTATCAGACCCTCAAATCTACATCACAGTTTTTGTAAGATTTTTTTTAAGTTTTTGAAATTGAGCCAAAAGAATTTTGTACCATTGGTAATTAAAAGAATTTTAAATATTTAATTGTTTCATCTCTTTCCCATCCTTTGTAATTTCTTTTCTTTGTGTACGTTTTATATGTATTTATTATATATTAGGTTAGCACTGCTTGGTTGTAATTTACAAATGAACATAAATGTATATTGAGAGGGTTCTTAAAACATTTTTTACTCCTGAGGTGCATGATCCAAAAATTTGGATATCCTTGCTTTAAAAGGACAATCTATGTTTTTAATTAAACAATCAGGATGAGCTGGAATGAAAGGAACAGACTTCTACAGATTTATCACCTATTTTTGAGGGTACAACTACTGCATTGTTACATAAATAATGTCTTGTTGCTCTGTCAGGCAGAAAGTAATAAGCTAAATGGGCTTTCTGCTACACTTAAGAGCACCGTATGTTTATCATTGACCTATTTTTTAAAATATCTTATAGCATTTATAATGTTCTTGAACAGCCATGAATAATGCCCTTCATTTTGGGAAAGTATCTATTTGTTGTCTCCCATGAGTCATTTTATTTCATGACGGTTCAATGAAAAATAACATTATTTTATATAACCTATTCGAGCCAGCATTACTCTAGGCCTGTGGTTCTAAATCTTTTTCTGCCTTTCATGCTCACAGTACATTCTCATCAATAATGTCGCAATTCATCAGTGAGGCATGTGTAATTTTAAACTCCCTGCCAGTGGTATAGAATGACTTTTCAACTAGTATAGTGTATCTTCCCAAGTCCTTCTACTACAGTTCAACAAAATTGAGAACTCGTGCTGTTAGGTACTTTAAAATGGAAAAAAAAATCCTTTATTTAAGCTTTGAACCAACAGATACCAATTTCCATCCTCCCATTCACTCATTCCCTGGGTCCAAGCCAAGGCTGCTGTCCCTCAGGGTTGGTTTATCTGGTGACTAACGCATTAGTAAAAACTCACTGGAAAAACTCAGTTTAGCTACTGTTGGGCCCCCACGTTTGCTTGCCTAGGGTTCTTTCTAGAGAACTCGTGGTTTCAGTTTGATTTTTGAACCACTCATGATTTCCATTTGATTCTAAAAGCATCCTCTGAACAAGCAACACCACCCTTGAATTAGGATTCAACCCTCTTACACTGCTTCCACCATTCTGCCTTCTTCTTGTGATGAATCCAGTTCTCAAGTTAAGACTATTAAATCAGAAAAGGCAGAGAATTTGGTAGGGAGACCTAATACCATCAACTAATTTGTCTTATCTAGACAGATAGAATTTAGTAACATTTATAAAAGCCAAAACATTCCTTTGTGTAAAGCTTTGTGATAAATACACAGTTCAGGTTAATTGTACATGTTAAGTTAAGCATATTATGTGGAACATAGACAATTATACCTTTCAGTTTAGAATTCTCTGCTTTCTAATTTTATGACTTTGAATCTAATTTCCCTGAACCTCATTTGACTCATTGGTAATATGCTGGTATTAATACCTCTGCTACAAAGGTTTGGTTTTTTTTTTTTTTTTTTTTTGGTAGAACTTAAATGAGCTTATATAGATGTACGTATGTAGTCTAGTACCTGGCACACAAATCATACTTCGATTACTAGCAAGTATGAGCATGTATTTGTTTCCATGTTTGTCTTCTCAAACTTATATACTATGTATTTCCCTTAATTACCTAAATTTTTATATAACATATGTCTTTTCATAATTTGTTTTGATCCACTAACTCAACATTGAGTTGTAAAATGATTAAGATTGTGTACTGGGTACTGTGGGAAATGCCAGTTTGAAAGTTAAAGCGATTACCAGACTTGAAGCTAATCCTGAACCAAGTTAGTGGCATCAGTATTGAAGAAGAAAGAGAGGTGAAAGCCACTTATGAAAGAAAAATTATATTGCTTGGAAATAAATGACTTGGGTGTTAGAATGGACTTAGAAAATGGTTCCAATTAAGGAAGTAAGAAAGCTAGAATACCAGGTAGAAACCAGCTAGAAATAACTGGTTTCCTATGTCTTGGTCATGATTTTGCACTTGGAGTTGATATGATAGAGGGACATTTAGATAAAGCTAGCAGTTGGAAATATAGCACTGGCATATGAAAGAGAGTTTAGGATTAGAAAAATCTAAGAAGCCATTGACATAGCGATCATACACTGTGGGAGTGAGGAGGCCCCTGGAGAGAATATGGAGAGATGACTTGAGAGGTAAGGAAAGAACCTTTGAGGATTACTCATGTTTGTGGAACAGTAGTGGGAAGAGGAAATGGAAAGGCCTATCAAAGCGTCTGTTGAGTGTAAGAGGAGTGTGGAGAAGGAACAGATGGTGAGTGCTGCAGAGAGAAGTCAAGGTAGGCAGTGCCATTTAATTTGGCAATTTTCACATAAGCACTTTGGTAGCTTTTGAAGGAGGCATTCCAAAGATACAGAGGTAGACAGTTGTATCAGTTAGAGTCTTGGCAATAAATAGCACACTCAAAGTGGGTAATATGAGCAAAGTTCAGTGAAGGAATATGGAGGGTGGAGGATGGGTATGAATCCAAAGAGGCAGGCAGGCAATATTCAGCAGAAGGATAGAAAACAAATGACTAGTAAGGAGAGGGGGATTTTGAGAAAATGGGGGTATTGACCAACTTATTTAAGAAATCCACTTTTATAGGAGTAAAGTTCTGTATCTTAAAAAAAATTAATAATAATCTCTACCAACTCCCTGCTTTGCAAGATTGCTGTAAAGTCTAAATGGGAGAGACATGAAGATTTTATCCTTTTTTCTTTATTGCTGTTGGTCTACCCAGACATTCTGCATTCTGTTACTGCTGCCTTATCTGCTATCATTAATTACTAAACAGAACTTGAGCCCCAATTGCATATGGTATTGTTAATACCTGGAAACAAAAGGTTTAATTCAGAAGTGCTTTTTTTATACATGAAAGCACTGCTATTTTGTCATCAGTGAGCATCTGTTAAATGTGTGGAACATGAAGAAAAGTTTTTTGATGTTCATATATCTTAATTTGACAGATTTATTTATACTGTGTATAAGAGGAAATTGTGTCAATAGTAATTGGCATTTAATCGGCTTATTCTCAGATTGATTCTCACATCAAGAATCTTTGCTCACTTTGGAGAAATGTGTTAGCTTATTATAAGGATTTTATTAATGTTCTTCTAGAGGTGGATTGATAAGCAGATTCTGTTAGCCCAAAGGTGTTAAAGTGCTTTTAAAGATATAGATCCACAGTGTCTTTTATAGTTCAGATAATATGTGACGTTTGATCATACATATCAAAATAAAGTTCAGAGGGGCCAGTGTCTCCGAGACATTTTAGTTTCCATTTAGTTAGATGGACTGAATCTAGATTAGGTACAAATGGAAATCTGTTTAATACTTATTTATATAAATGTATGCTTATTACTTTCGTGAGATAACTGTATGGTTAACCCCAAAGACAGTCTACAGGAATCACAGCTGAGATTCACAAAAGACTAGAACAGCAAATTTGGAAATTGTTAGTTCCCTGGCTGCCATTCTCTATCTGTGTCTGTCTTTTGTCTCTCTTTCTGAGATTGGATGGGTTTCTTTTCTCTTCCAGTCCTTGTTCATGTACTTCCTTCTTTCTGTAGACTGTATTTTTCTGTTATATTTCTCTATGGCCTAAATACAGTCTTTGCAGCCCCTACTTTATAAGTTTTTGGCTTAGAAATATTGCACCTCTTCCCAAGTTTCAGGGATGAGAAAGGGAGAATATGAATAAGACCTCAACTTGTTCAGCATAACCATTGGACTGGCACCTCTTGTCTAATCAGCTTTATTGAGCGAGTTATTTCTCTGACAGTTAGGGCATATGGTCAAGGCAAGTACCCCTTTAATAAAGCAAAGAAGATACATACCATTATAATATACCTCTTTTCAGAGAAGTTGGTTGTTTCTTTTAAAATTCCACGTGAATGTTGAAGGTTTATAAATAATAATGCACTCAAGTGTGGCAAGTAAACATTAATCTAGTTTCATGTCTTTCAAATACGAATTCTATATGCTGAGTTGGGTTCATAACATTAAGGGATTTAAAATGTATTAGAGTAAAATATTGATTACTATAGCAAAATTCTAGCTAAGAATTAAATTTGTGATCATTTTGTCTATTTCATTTCTCATGGGAGGTGCTTTTAACTATGTGCATCCTGCCATGGATAACAATGGCCTGTAAATATCTGTAAAAACTTTAAAATCAAATTAAATTATACTTTCATTACAGATAAAGTGAATCAGTTATTTTCAGCATTAGTTCTAACAACACTGGAATTTAACTTTTTTCCTCCAAATTTCTAGAGAAAGAAAAATGCCCAAATGAAATAGTCTCTAGTGTTTGTTCAGTATACAGAATAGTATGATAAAACAGTATTCTTTATCACCAGAATTTTACTGATTTGTTGTTCTTAAGAGCCATCTATTTACCAGCCATTTTCAAACACTCACTGTACAAGGCATTGAACTTGTTACTGTGGGGTATGTATGAAGTTTGAATTTAATCAAGATTTTTCTCTAAAGCACCTTAAAATCTAAAATAAGTTTTGTCTGACATAGTCTACTGGGACATCTGCTATATGAATTGGAAAGTGGTGTATATATGAGAAAAGGACCAGGTGGATTGTTATTCAGAGGAGAGAGCAATTACTTTCATTGGTGGTGGGCAGGGGGAGAGATTGGAAAAATTTCATGAAGAAAGTAGAATTCCAGCAAGGAATGTCCAAGAACTAGCTATTTAGAAATAGACAAAATACAAAGACTATATTATGAACAATGATTCAAAGGAGTTTACTTGTTAGTCAGAAGTTATGATTAGTTAGTCCAGTAGGTGCAGAAAAGGGTCTCAGTTGGAGAGTTTTGGTTTTATTCTCGTAACACTTGGAGAGCCATTGGAAATTTTTGAATAGGCAGATGGCTTGAACAAAATCCTGCTTCAGGAAGATAGAAAACTTCCTAGGAAACTACTTTCTCATAGAAAACCAACTGCAGAAATGTAGACTCAAGGTATACATGTAATAGTTGGCATAATCATTTAGCGGTAGTCATCAAAATTAGCTTTTTCGGATTTGTGTAAAAAGAGATGGTATCAAAATAATGCTTCTTACCTTCAAGCTAAAATGGTTACAATATGTCTGCCACCTGTTCCCTAGGTTGTAGGTCTCTGTCTACCAGGACACAGACCTGTCTCAAATCCCTATCTTTTGTCCCTCTGTTGTAGATTTATTGATGCCTGTTAATTTTTTTTTAAGTATAGTTTGCTTTTACTTTCAAAGTGTCCTGATTTGGGGAATGGTGGGGGTGGGGAACACCTCATCACTCTAGCTAAAGTAATATAGAGACTGTTTTCAACTCAGATTACTTGAAATCAGGTTTGCTTCAGGACATACACATGTTCACAGTTAAATTAAAATTACAATGTGAGTTCAAATGCCTACGTACAGAAATGTCACAGAACAACTCATAACTAATCACCAAATCAGTGATGTGGACAGTGAAGCTTAAGTTTAGGAGAGGGATGAACTCAGCCTCATAGTTAGCTCTTTGAGACTAGGCTGATCACACTGATTAGAATTTTGCAAGATTCTCGTTAGCCATATCCTTATAGTCTGCTTCCTGGCTTCCAGAACTGTTTTGGCATTTTTGAATGATTATTTTATGTCCTGTACTTTTCAGGCCAAATGTCAGTGTAGTTTTATATCATGTTATCGAATTATCCTCTTTAGAAGTCATTCTTACGATTCAAATAGGAATAAAGATACATACCTCAGCTTGTTGTCTCCAGATACAAAAAAAAGCAGGGGGGAGTATGTTTGTCTTTGAAACTGCCAGACATCTGTTAGTCTTCTCACACCTTCTGAATATGTATCTCAAGTCAGTTCTAACCATTAATTACCACACATTAAATATAGCGTTTTTCTTATTTGAGGCAGTTTCTGTACTTTAGAGGAAATAATCTCTTCAGGCCTGAATGCTAAGCATCTTTGGTAAAATCCTCTAGCATACCCGTGTGGTGGAGATTGTCATAGAGGAAATTAGAACTGAGTCTTTAAAAAAGACTTAGTCACAAAAATTGATCTGACAGTCTCAAATTTCTTCAGTAAGATGTATGTTGGTGATTCCAAATAATACATATTAAGAATTAAAGTTGTGTCTCTTTAAAATACAAAGAGTAAATTAATGCCACTGTACATAAATCTGTCAAATATATTTTCTAGGTTAAAAACAAAACTCAGAGACAGCAATACATGTATATAAAACTAGAATTTTAAAGTTCTTAGACGAATCCTTGTGAGCAGTAACGTAATCACTCATTTGATTAGCTCAGCTTGAATGACCATTTAGGTGCTTAATTATATGTCTAATACTAAGCTTTTTTTTGTTTTTTCTCTTTTTTTAAGTTTTCTTATATGTAAAGAATATTTTGAATGTTGCTGAACCTAAGTTTTTTGCCTGAATGAAGCTTCTGGCTTATGGATTATATGTTGTACTTGAGTTGACCCTTCTTTTTAGTACTTCCGGTATTGATTTTGTGGATAACATGCATAGGTCATTTAATCTTTTCCTATATTTCTTCACCAGTTGAGTAAATTACTGTTATTTACCATTTATGTAATTTATAGAGTGGTAGAGATTAAAATAATAAATCCAAACTTAGGAGAGCTCACTTTAAACAATGAGAGTTCCCTATAATTCTTTGGGATCACAACAAAATAAAATTATGCTAGCTCCAAAATATCACCTTTCTTCCCTGGGATACTGAACTAGAGCAGCAGTACAAATCCTGCCAGATGACCCATTTTAAAAATCAGGGATGAGAATTGATGTGTAGTCATATAAAATAGTTACCACTGCCCTCCACAAACAAATTTATCACACACATTTTGTACTTATGTGCTTTGAACCACTTCCGAATACATGGAGGAAAAAATTAGATTACCCACTTTTTAGAGAGCCTTGATTGTATCTTGTGACTGAGTGATAAACAAATAACCAAAGGTAGAATATTAAGGGTGATGATCAAGTTAAATAGAAGAGGAAGTTAGGGACCTTGATTTTTTTTTTCAATCAATTTCAGAGTTCTGTAATGACTCAAGTAGAGAGTTGATTTCCCATCCAGTAATCAGGGAAGGGATGGGTATGTAACAATTTTCAATAAGCTGGTCCGAGAAGAGTAACTAAGAAGATGGTATTTCTTTAGAATCTGTCAGCAAGAGTTAATCGTGAATAGTCTATGGTATTTTTTCAAAATCTTTGACAATTGACTTTTCTCCCAAGAATTTATTTGCTAGGGTGTGAAAGGGAACAAAAACAGATGCACAATCCCATGTGCCCACCCAATGATTTTTCAGATGAATGCACTGGACACCCTTGGTCAGACCGCTTTGCATAGAGCCGCCCTAGCCGGTCACCTGCAGACCTGCCGCCTCCTGCTGAGTTACGGCTCTGATCCCTCTATCATCTCCTTACAAGGCTTTACAGCAGCGCAGATGGGGAATGAAGCCGTGCAGCAGATTCTGAGTGGTAAGTGCAAACAGATGCAGACAGACACTGCCTTCTATTCTTTCTCTTCCACGTCTGCCCACTGATAGACAGACTTTGCACTTCTCCTTTCAAGTAGCTCTTTGGAATATTTTCTCTGCCTGAATATTTTTCCTACCTTTCCTTGCTTGCAGTTTAGCCTGTGGCCCTAACCATCAGCCTCTTTTGGTGGGGTTGAGGTAGTGTCATGAGAAGAGGCAAACACTCTCTAATTTTTTTAGTGTTAAATTGAAAACCTGACTTATGGGTGTCGTGATGAAAGGTTACCTAAAACTCCCATAAACAGTGTGGAATTATGGTCACTCTGAAATCTATCAAATAGAGAAAATTACAAATAATAATATGGTAATGACCTTTAATTAGTTGTTCTTACATGTGTTATATTCTGCTTTTTGTAATTCTTAACTTCATTGCACTATTACAAAATATCTTCTCTTTTCCTATTGTTTAAATATAATTATAAAATCTTGCTGAGTGTTACAGTGCCTACTTAGTGCAGCTAGATACTTTAAGTATTTAGTTTCTACAGAGACCTTCCTAAAAAAATCTATATTAAATGCCCCATCTATGATATAAAGGGAAAATAATAGTAAATTACAGTAAAATAATTTATAATTGTTAGACTAGTGATACCTAGGGCATGACTATGCTAGAAGACAAAATTTGACCCCACAAATTTCTGAAGGGCCCCCAAAAAGTGCAGCCCAGTTGAAAGTCACCTTTATACATGGAAATCGGGACCCTTTCCAGACTTAACGGAGAGCATAATGTGTATTGTTAAAGCTGAATTAGAGCTGACCAGCCTCATAGGAGTAACTGTACACATGTCAAAGCTGTTGACTAGGATTTCTTTTCCTCATACTGGTTCTTTCTTAGATAGTGGTCATTCTACTTCAGTCTTGCATGATGACTTTTTGACAATTGAAGTAAGAGCAGTCTAGGGCATCTTCACTATCAAAACAAAGAAGATCTATCTAAAGGAATTAAATTAGCTATTATAGGATTTCAAGCTTCAATCATGAAAAGCATGCCTTCGTTGAACTTCCTGTTTCTACAGAGCAATAGGGCATTTGCTTAAAAAAGCTAATCACTCTTTGACTAGGAAATATTTCTGCTTTCTCAGTAAATTCTAATAATTTCTAAATGGTGTGACTTTTGTTAAAATATTCTAAATTTTTCTTATACTTTTACTGAGAACCATTTAATAGTGGATTTTAAGTTAGTTTCTATAAATTGTAAGCATAAATTAGGCTAACAGATAGAAAGCTATTACATCAAAATTTCTAATACTATACATAGCTTATAGAGATAATTGACAAAATGGAGAGGAAAGGATTGAATAAATTAAGCAGATTAGCTCCAGTAATGCTTTTAAAATGTCTTCTAAATGAATACCATTGGAATATATGACTTCTGGTAAAAGGTAAAATTACATACTGAATCACAAATGAAATTTTTTTTTATTATTTTGATAATTCTTAAAAATTAATTTGTAAGAGAAAACATTTTATAGGTCATTAAATACCTAATTTAGTATGGCTAGACCTTTTTAGTTTAATTTTTCATATTTTTATTCATTTGGATAGATAATACACATAATAGAATTTGATGCTTAAGTCTTGCCTTAGAAAGGTTTTTTAAAATGGGAATTATTTTTTATTTAGAAGAAGAAATAATTTTTGAACTATATTTCTACAAGAAACTTATGTGTATATAGTGTGTAGACCGTTTACTGGCTGAACTTTTCAACTATACCTATATTTACTAATCCAGTTCCAGGTTATATCTGTAATGACTCCTGAAAGAATACATCCATCCCACTGGATGCACAGTAGAGTACTGGTGTTTTGTCCTAGGTAACACTTTAAAGTTTTGTTTAAAAACACCTGTTAATACCAGGTTTGAGATTCACTTTTAGAAACCTGCACTTTCAGCTCCCAGGCCTATAGTTGCCAAAAGCTTACATTAGTAAAGCATTAATTGTAAACTGCTGGCAATATTTATGTTAAAATTAGTGTCAGAGTAAAGAAAATAAGATAAGCAGCTTTTTACAAACCAATGTTTTAAAACATCACTTTTAGAAGATTTGACTTTTTTCTCTAGGCCTATTCTGTTCAGTATGGTAGCCACAAGTTACATGTGGCTACATTTAAATTAATTAAAAATAAAAATAATGTTTTAATCTGTTTATCAGTTATACTAGCTACATATCAAGTACTCCGTAGCTACACATGGCTAGTGACTACCATCACTGTGTGGCTGGTGACCACACAGCACATAGATAATTGCCAGCATCATAGGCAGTTCTTTTGAACAGCACTTTTAGGCTAGATCTTGACCTTGCACCTTAGATTTGATCTTGATCTGTACAGTTCTTCTGATTGTATATTTCAGTATGTCAATTGTATTACTTTTACCTAACCATTTACAGAGGTAAGGCTTTAGGGACTTAAGAAAGCTAAATTAAACATTGAGATCATCATTTACAATTTGCACATTGAAATCAGCCACTAAGACCTATCACTAGTCCTATAGTCTAACACTACCTAAACAATCAGCCTACAGGAGTTTTCTTTTTTCTAAATAGTTTCAAAACTTGAAAGGTAGTTTAGTTTAATTTATTTTTTTCTGGTGAGTCAGAATATATTGGGAGAAAAATTAGAAGCCCATCTCTAGCCTTTGACCCTAGCCAATATGCTTCTAAAGAATTTTACATAACAGTACTTTATGTATCAGCTACTCTTCCCTTTGTTCTCTTTTTAACTTCTTTTTTATATATTCCTTTCAATTGTGCATCTCTTGGTAGAGTTCTTGGACTCTGTGTGTGTGTGTGTGCACGCGCGTTGTATCCTTTCAGCTAATACTTTGGTAACATTTCTAAAAATGAATCTGTTCTACGCCTGTTCAGATTTATAATGAATGCAGAGCTCTATAATTTGTATAGTAATTAATCAATATCTTTAAATCTCCTTACTTTTTACTCTTTGACTACAACTAAGAATTTCTCATAGTTCTCAGAAGCATCCTTATATTTGCATAAAATTTTTCACTTGATTATAAAACTACACCCTTTTGCAAGTCAGTCAGCATCGAGAGGTATGCCAATTTCAAGTAGTTCTTAGAGTTTAAAAATCCAGCCATATTAATTGTATCCCTCACATACTAGAATCTGAAAATATCCAAAGTTCTAACTCTGTATGCATAAACAATCGTCATTCTATTTTGTTGAAATGATAAACTTAATAATATTACCTATAGATATGCAAAGGATGTTTCAGTGAATTTTACCCACTGCCAAAATCACTATCACGGGATCATAATCACAGCTTTCTCACCTACAGCCTGTAAATGCAGCCATGTCATACAGAGTTAGAATGGAGGCAAATGAGACATGAAAGAACAGACTAAGCGCACACAAAGAAAGAGCTCTGGTTTGACATACACATTGACCCCAATGTAAAATAGCATAGACGTCAATTCAGCAAATGCCTTCCGAATGTCCTCTGTGTGAAAAGGAAAAGAAAGATGAGCAAGACCTGAATCCTTTCCTCAACCATTCTGCAGACTAAGAAATGTTATAAACTCTCTTTTAAAGAAAAATAATTGTTGATATTTCAAAAATGTACTTCATTATATGAAATACTCTTCTTTCCTCCTTTTAATTTACTTAGCATTTTACCTGCTAAGTATTATTATTATTATTATTAAGTATTATTATTATGATGATGACTAAGTAAATAGTTTATTTTCCATTGAAGAATTCTCTTAACTTACTCTGTAAAAGTCAACTGTCCTGAAAAATTACTTTAGAAAGAGCTGAAGTATCTCTTCTGAAATCTGAAACCTTTTTATAGCATCACATGATCTTCCCATTTGGACACTGGACTCAAGAAAGTTGACTCTGGTCACAAGATACTGAAATTTGAAACCTGAAAGAGAATTTAAGGAAAACCAACACTCACTTTACAGATGCAAAAACTAAGTTATTAAGTGATTTGTCCATCTTCACAGTTAATAGAGCTCAGTCTGAATCCAGATCTCCTGGGCTTAAGTTCTTTTGTGTTACATGAGTGTGTGTACACATGTGCATTTTAAACGCCACACTTAATGTCCATGAACATACTTTGAGTAATAGCATTGTTTTCTTTAAAAATCTTTTTATATGGGCCGATGTGTAGTGAATTATTGGTTTGTTTATAGTATTGGATTAATCAAAATACCTCATTTGTTAGCCTCATACTTCTAGACATAACAGCCTGATTTAATTATATTCTATTTAGCATTTTATCACACCTCTTAATTATACAGACATTTTAAATTACATTTCCCTGAAGCCATTCAATAAATGTAAATCAAACAAATTTCTGTATTTAGTAGGCCTTTTTTGTATGCTGATTATATTTTCTAAGATCATTGATTTCAGTATTACTTCTGTTTCATACTGAAGAAATTGAGGCCAAAAAAGAAAGGCTAAACATTAAGTACTGACAGTTGAGTGGTTTCCTTTGGTTTCCATGACAAAACCTATGGCAGAGCTTGCTTTAACACTTTGAGAGACCAGTGTATCATAATGTTCATGATCTCGTGGTCCTGTGTCTCTTCGTTCCCTTTTGCCAGATTTTGACTAGAAACTGTGAAGAGTAGAGTAATAGGGATGGAGAAGGGGTGTGTCTTATATTTATTAGAATTTGGCTTAGGATAAAGTGGATGTAGATTGAAGTAAGAAACCATTTATTTCTTATCTGAAAAATATTGGAGGAAAAACCCTATATTAGATCTCAGAAATTTCTGACCCCTTACCTCTCTCTTTCCATTCACCAAATAATTTTCCCTCCCTAGTTACTCTGTGATTTCTTAAAAACCAACAGTAATCTTCCCTTTCTTTTATGCAGAAAGTACGCCTATACGCACTTCTGACGTTGACTATCGACTCTTAGAGGCATCTAAAGCCGGAGACTTGGAAACTGTGAAGGTAAGTTAGCACTTTTATGTCTTAGGTAGTAGCTCTAGGGAACCTTTGCTAACAAATTCATTTTAAGCTTATAAGTGAAACTACTCAAATCCAAACAATAAAAGGGATCCAGAGAGATCCATAAAAAGGGGAGATTTTTAACTATGAAGAATTTCCTAGAACGTGCCTTACATTAAACTCCTTCCTAATCACTTATCTTCTGGTTATATGAAAGCTCTTTTTCTTTCCACTTACATTAATTAAAATTTTATTTTGGCCACATTCATAAATTTCCAAGCTAATTCAAGCCCAGGTAATAGTATAATAAAGTTTGAAACAATGTTCTTGAACTTTTCCAAGAGATTCCCATGTGAACCTGCAACCCTTTGGAATTAATTATATACAGAAGGTGGATTTTCTTTTCTGTGTCACTGTTTACCAAGGAAATTTTTATCAATGTTTGTGGTATAGAAACAATGATTATAGGTTGAATTTTTTCAAATATAAAATTATATTTTCACATTTAATATGCTTTTTTAAAACACACACACTTCCCACCTATAATCATTCATATGTAGATGAAGATAGCAGAAAGGGATATGGGTTTTATTTTTGTTTAGGAGTTGGTATTGTATTTTTGTTTTTATTTCTTTTTCACTTTTTTTTTTAAAGAAAGGCCAATTGCAAAATTGGTATTGCCAGCCATATACCAGGTTATTTTTTACAAACTAATCTTGGGCATTTCTTATTGTCATTTCTTAATACACAAACTAATTTTGGGACTCTTGATGATATATACTGGTTGAAAATGACATTAAACACTTTCTAAGTTCTGTTGCCCAGAGATTTTATTTTTGTTTCAATATGTGGCAACTTCTAACTTCTCTTCCATCTTAAAATAACATCTAAGTTATTTAAAGAAAGTAGTAAATTTCAGTTAAATAGTCACTGGGGAGAAATTTTAAAGTTCTTAGATCTGAAATTATAAATACTTTTGTCATTTGAAATACATCCTAAAAAAGGAAAATCTTAAAATATAAAAATGATTAGGACTCCTTTTCTGTATCACAGCATGATAATCCCAGCACTAGAATTGCTATATGTGCCTGTTATAATTGATTTTTTTTTAATGTGTCAGTTTAATTCCATATGTTTTGTTTGTAATAGGCAAACATGCCACAGCTCTTGGGTTTCGTAAACAATCCTTTCACAATAAAGGCCAAATACATTTTTATGAATGGAGTGGAAGTAGCAGAAGAAAACAAAGCACAGATTGAGAATTAAGCCTGGGAAATTTCTTTCCCTTGAGGCTTTAGAAAGCACTAGAAATTAGGTGTTAGAAGAAAAAGCTGTTTGCTGAGTAAAGTATTTGAGAAGCAGGCAGGAAGGATGTAAAATTGCTTTGGCATTCAAAAAGAAAGTGAAATAGTATAGAGAATAAAGAACTTCTAAATAGTAAAAAGCAAATATTTAATAAGCAGAATTGGCTTTATTTTATAAATAAAAAATTAAATAAGGTAAAATAAGTTGTATTTCATTTCCTACTTCATCCCTGTTTTACCACTATTCTCTGCAAAAAAGAAAAAGTTAACTTAGACTATAAAGAACTAGAATAAAAGCAGCAGCAGCAGGAAGCAGCTTCAGTCATGTTAAGACACCATAGGTATTTACTGCCAATTTTTGTAGCCTTTCTAGTTCTTGTATAAATTTATTCATTTCTATTTAACTTTATTTTTTGATTCTATAATTATGTATTAATGTAACCACAGACTCACTTGTCATGAAAAGGTAAGCTGTTTGACCTGGCCAGATGACAATGGCTCTTCAGATTTTAGAGTCTCTCCCTTATGCCCAGACATCCTTCCATCATGTGAAAATTGTACCACTTGAAAAGTCCTGTTTTTATCCTACCAGCCCCTACTCAGTATATCAGTAGAAATAGATACCTTCCAGGTTCTTAGTTTTTGTATTTTAATAGCTCATTACAGTGACTTGAACAGCAGCAAGATTGTCAAATGCCTGGAAACCCCTTGCCAGTATACCTTGTAGCCTAGAAAAAAATGTCACTGTTTTTCTCTGCTCTTTTTTTTTAAGGAGCACAAGTTTTGTTTTGTTTTGTTTCCCCCTCTGTCTGCTTTTGTTACCTTTCTTCTTTTCATTACCTCTCTTCTCATCAATTCCCTGAATTTGGGTAAGCGACAATGTAGCTAAGAGATCAGAAGATTAAAAATTAGGTAAATGGTGTTTGAGTCTTTATTCTGCCCCTTACCAACACTATGAAAAAGGGTGAGTCACTTAACATTTCTGAGCCTTGGTTTATTTATCTGTAAAATGAAGATAATGATTAACTTCCGAGGTAGATAATAATTCTCTCACTGAAAAACCGTGAAGTTCTTTATAAACTGCAAATTGTTATTGAAATATTTTTATTATAATCTATCCATCACGACCAATGATGCAGCCTCTCAGGCCTAACATTGCTTCTACTGCTTTGTAAACAGAGCTGAGCTTCTGCTGAAATGACAGCATTCAAAAGGAGAAAAGGAGACAAGAGAAGAGACTTGAAGGACATAGCTGAATGAGATGGAAATAAAGGCCAAAAACTAGAATATGATCAGAATCATTTTGACTTGTAGACTTAGACAAATACCTCCTCCCCGCTCCCCCAAGACCAAGTAAAGCACTGTTGACTGTGTGGCTTTGCTGTGATGGGTCAAAGGGCCAAGTGGATGGCCCAGACGGAATTAATGTAATTTTTCCAGAGCCTTCTTGCTTGCCACTCAAAGGAGACATGAGCTCTGGGTAGCTCTGCAGTCAGCCAGGGTTGGTCTTACTTGAGCACAGAGTGGCTTAGAGCATGCTGGCTCAAGCAGACTTGCTGTGACAAACAGTCTCAGGGAGGAAACCCTATAAAGGTGGACAAGGAAGGCTCCATTTGCCTTGGAAATGCTTGCTTTCTTATGGGTTTTTCCTTTTGATTAGAATTTGTCCAGGAAATGTTGAAAAAAGATTAAACTATTCTGCAAACAGAGTATTTGTAGACCTGTAAAGCTAAGCATTCTGCTGATTTTTAAACATCACTTGTATAATCTTTGGGAAAGAAATATTCATTAGAAAATTACAGTGTATCCAAGAAGCCTGCAGTATTTTGGAGCAAGATCTTTGAATCATTATTAATGTTTGTTTTGTGTTTATCTCTGTGTGTGTGCCCTAAAAGCAACTTTGCAGCCCTCAGAATGTGAATTGCAGAGATTTAGAGGGCCGGCATTCTACGCCCTTACACTTCGCCGCAGGCTATAACCGTGTGTCTGTGGTGGAGTACCTCCTACACCATGGTGCCGATGTCCATGCCAAAGACAAAGGGTAGGTGTTAGAATTTCACTGTTTAGGGTTCATTCTCTTGGGAATTAAAAGGTTTCTGTTAGTATTTTTGAAGTCTCCAATTTTTTTCCCTATTTAAAAAGTAATGCATGTTTTTTAAAGTTTAAACATTATGGAAATGTTTGGTATAGGAAGTGAAGAGTCTCTCTCACACCATCTCCTGGAGATGACAACATCAAAATTTTGCTGCAATTGTCCAGATTTTTGGAACTCATATACTAGTGTGTCTGCTGTTGTGGTGGAGCTTGTTTTTAACATAAACAATGATGTCATTCCAGATAGTCTACTTCGCAATTTGCTTTTTTCACTCCGTAGTATATCTTGAATGTCTTTCCATATCAGTACTTAATAGTCTGTTTCATCCTTTTAATGCCTATACATAGCATTTTATTGCATTATATGAATGTGTTTATATAGTTTGTAATTTATTCTTCATCTCTTTTTTTGCTATTAAAAATGTGTAATCTCCTTCAAAAAGAAGTCATCCATCCCAAAGTCATCAGTATTAATAGAAACATAATTTTATTTTTACTAACTCAGATATTCTCTATTTTTATATGAGTTTACTAAATTATTTTAATTTATCTAGACAGAGTTTAAAGCAGCCATGGAAGCTATTTAGAAAAGCAAGAAATTTTAACTGAAATGAGCTTTTGTATTCTGACTTAATTTCATATCATCTGAAAATATAAATAAGCACTTTCCTATGCAGTTACCGCTGTAGAATTAAACTACACAACTTAGACTTCAGTTAACCATTATGGATTTGTTTATCTTTTAAAAGGGACACATCAGACATGAA